GAATACACAACTAGTCAATTACAAAATCAGAACTCAATCTCATTTCCAGTGGTTTCAGATCATGGAAATTAGGATGGAGATGAAAGAAGAAATCTGAGAAACATTGACTGAAATACTGATATTATATTCAAATCTCATTGAGAAAGTAATCCTCTGAAGGGTATATGGATTAACATCTAAGACTAAATAATGGCACTTCACGGGTATTGCTACTTAATAGTCAGCTAGGTGAGAATTCTTTATTTATCTAGCATTTATCTAGCCCTTGACAGTTTATAAAAATGCTTTGCAGCCATTCTCTCACCACAACCCTGTGAAGTGGCTACTACAGTTATTGTAATTCAAATTTTTTAAGGTAATTGGGGTTAAGTGACTTGCCCAGAGTCACACAGCTAGTAAGTGTCAAGTGTTTGGTCTGAGGCCAGATTTGAACCCAGGTCCTCCCTGACTTCAGGGCTGGTGCTCTATCCACTGCACCACCTAGCTGCCCCTTTGTAATTCACATTTTATAGATGAGAAAACTGAGGCTGATGGACTAAGTCACTTGCCCAAGATCCTACAGCTATGAAATATCTGAGGCAGTAATGAATCCCAGTGCCCTGAACAAATCAAAGGAGCTCCCTGGTCCCCAGGCCTGTAGCTGGGATGAGTGAACTGAAATTGGATGGGCCATGAATCCTCATATCAATGACATGGACCACTAGGTTTACATCATGGAATCATGGAATCATAGATTTAAGGCCAGAAAGGACCTTAGAAGAAATCAAGTCCAATCTCCTCATTTTACAGATGAGGAAACAGGCATTGAGAGGGCAAGGGACTTGCCCTGGGCCACACATCTAATAAGTACCTGAGGCAACATTTGAAATGATACCTTCTTGACTCCAAGTTCAGTGTTCTATCCACTATTCCATTCTGGTACCTCCATTCTCTGTAGTATAGATTCTACCACTAGAAAATGAGGATGATGACATTTGTAAACCCCAAAAGTCTATAAAAAACACTTGTTTGCACTTGTCTGTTATAACTCTTGTTATCCTCAGATGAATAGTGCTACATAAATATGGCATAAAAACAGCTTGGTATAATGGATAGAGTGCTGGATCTGGTGTCAGGAGAGTATGGGTTCAAATCCAGCTTCAGGATACTTCCTCAGGATTCTCATTTCTTAGGGTTGTTTGTGAGAATCAAATGAAATAAAGGATGCACTGCACCTGGCAAACCTTTACGTGTTATACAAATGTCCAGTTATCATTATCATTAATTATTAATATAAATATCACAGCTACAATCCCTATTGATCACAATTGTTACAGTTTGGATTTATTTCATTGTATTTCTCTGATTTTTCTCTTTCTGAAGGACAGTCTCACTGGAGCTCATTAATAAAACTGTAAGTAAGTCAGGTGCCAAGAAAGTAGCCAACAAAAAAAATTTAAAGTTATATTTATAATTCCTACTAGCACTTGTGGGGAAAACAATGGTACTTAAAAAAAAAAGTAGTTTCTTGGCCTTTGGAAACTATGTATTAAACTCCTTTATCACCTAAAGCAATTAAAAAAACTCAACACAAGTTGAATTTAAGAACAGTATAAAAAAATTAAAAATCTTGAAAATGTTGACATATAACAGAACTCTAGAACTCTGATTTTTTTTAATAAATATTTTTTCTCGGGGCAGCTAGGCAGCACAGTGGATAGAGCACCAGCCCTGAAGTCAGGAGGACCTGAGTTCAAATCCAGCCTCAGATCAAACACTTGATACTTACTAGCTGTGTGACCCTAGGCAAGTCACTTAACCCCAATTGCCTAAAAAAACAAAAACAAAAACAAAAAATAAATAAATAAATAAATATTTTTTCCCCTCTCTGAAAATTTTGCCCACTTATTCCCTTGACTGGAAAAGTCCTCCAATTAGAAAAATCAATAAATTTACGAAAATGAAGTTATTCAGAATGAGACCACCACTACAAGACAGACCCCATCCTGCTCCTAGAAAAGAGCAAAAAAAAGGGTCAAGTTTCCCAAAAGAGGTGGAAACAAAGTTTGACAACTGCTTTGTTTTTATCAAAACTATAAGAGTTCTTCATTGTTGCTTCTTATCATGTGTGCTAAAAACCTTTAATCACAAAATAAGTAAAGTGTGTTTTACATGTACTGTTTTTCTGGGCTGAGCTATTACATAAAGCTGAAGAACAAGTGAAGCTTCTCAAAGAAAAATGTTAATCATAGCTTGTAAAGTAAAAGAGTCCCTCTAAATGCTACCCCCACCAGCAGTTCTCTTGAAATCAATCAACTGATAGTTCAAAAAGCATTTTTAAGTACCTACTATATATGTTCCAGGCACTATGCTAAGCAGCATTATTCCCAAGAGGACTTAATACAAGATAACCACCCATGATTCTCATCTTCAAATTCAGATATCATTATGGCTAGTATCATTAGAAAAAAAAATGAAAGATGGACTATTTTACTTGAGACAATAAAGAAACTAAACTTGGCATCCAGCATAAATGTCTTTCACATCTTAATTTGTTCCACATAAATGAGAGTTTCCATACCAATCCAGGCTTTCTGTCATCAATCCACCGGGGTCAAAGTGTCCAGCTGCTGCTGGCAGGAGGCTTTCCAAGATATATTTTTTTTTTAAGAAAAAAAAAGGACAAGACTTGTTCTTGTTTCTCCTTATTTAATGGAGGCAGGAAGAAAAGGAGGGAATAAAATTGTGTCATGCTGGACAATTCTATACATAAACGATTTCCTTTAAAATGAGATGGTAAACTGGGGGAGGGAGGAGTGTATAAGTAGTTGCCTATACAGGCTATTATTTTGAATACAGTTATTAGAAAACTATTCCAGCCCAACCAGAGGATGGATGAGTGGAAGGAGATGAAAAGAAATAAAGAATTACAGAGTAAGACAAAAATGTTACATAAAAATCATCAGAGGAAAAAAAGCAACATCAGGTAAAAGATGACATCTAAAATTTTTCAGGTCTCCAGTAGCAGGGAGGAAGACTGAAGCTATTAGCCTAATATTTCAGCTCAAATAACCAATTCCCCTGGCATTTATATCTGACATACTTCAAATGTGACTCAGACACCCCTTTCTGCTCTTTTTAATCTCCTTGGGATAGATCTATATTTATTTATGTATGACTCCTAATCCCAAAATGGGCATATTAAAGTCTGTAGGAGTTAAGAACAATTAACAAGTCAATGAATCATAGTTTTGTTTATAATTCTATTGTGAAGCATAACAATTATTGGCTTAAATTAAAAGTATTTGTTAAATAAAAGCACTAAATTATAAAAATATTTACTTAGGAACCCTGTTGTGAAATACACAATTTGTGAACATCCTTATAAAAATTCAAACACATTATTACTTACATTAAAAACCCCAGTTACATAGGTCTGCAGAGTATTGATTCACATGTGTTTTATAGAGTGTGAGCAGCACTCTATAAACATATCTTCAACATATCTTGTCTAATTTGTCACATCTACTCATTTCATCTAATCCCCTAATCAAAACTGCAATTTGATTCAGAGGATTTGGCTAAAATAACTTATGAGATTATGGACTGATCCTTCTGGGGTTATTTGAATTTTAAAGGAAGAACTTGTTAAGGCAAAAGTATCTCTAATTAGTGGAAATACTTATGGAAATCCTTCTTACGTACAAGTCTTCTGAAGGCAGAGACAGAAGGCAGGGAAAGAACAACCCCAAAGAGCCTGCTTTTCTTCTTCTAGGATGGCAAGATCACTACTCTGCAAGGGAACCCATGCCATGCTGGATATCCCTAACTGTTAGAAAGTTCTGTGTGTAAACTGCCCACTTCCTTTTTTTCCATCACTTTCACATTAACCCTATAAAAACCTACTTCAGGGTCTCTGGAGAAACATAGGAGGGACAGCTTTTCTTGAAAATAGGATATTTCTACATAACTAGATATGGGATAAACTGTATTTGTTAGTATTTTTGTTTTATACCAAAATGGAAAATGTGGATAATGACCTTTTCAGATACTACTCACCAGGTTTACCTATTCATTGATGCCTTAGACTTGTAGCTCACTTAGGAGCTGAAAAACTCAAAGTCCTGCTCACATTTGTTATTTCATTTGTGCCCACAAATCAATGTAATACAAATGGAACCAATAGAACAAAGACTGGTTAAGAGGCTTGTTCCAGGAACAAGTTCAAGTGAAGAGCTGACTAAGAACTTACTTAATCTAGATCAATCCTCTTTCCATGACACAATGGGGTAAACCCTCTACTTACTGGCAGACTCTCCTGGTGCATTGCTCTCTATAGAATGCTTCTTTATCCTGGCTATGGGGTTATTTAGTTGTGTGACCAAAAGCAAGTCATTTAGCCTCACTTATGGCTCAGTTTCCTCAGGCATAAAATCAGAAGGTAAGGAGATGATCTCGAGGATATGTGTAAGCATTAAATGTCTATGACTCTAGTTTGCATGTAATTTGATGAATTTCAGCTATTATAAAAGGCTTTGAAAACAGAATGTAAAAATACTATTCATTCACTATATTTTAAATAAAAACAGTCATTTTATGCATTCATTTATATCATGAAAGATATAGCTCTTATCACTATAACTTAATGTGACAAATCAAACAAACTCTTAAGATTGGCACCATATAATCTAAATGATTTTTTTTAAAAAACTGAACCTGAAAGTAACTTAAATGAGAAATTTTGCTTTTGAAAAAAATTAAAGACTAAGGTTGCTTCTCATCTAAGAGCGACAGCTAAAAAAGAACGAAAAAATGAAGAAAAACTCAGTTGAAATTTGGCATTTACTAAAAGAAGAGGAGCAAGCAGAATTTATGTGTTAAGACAGTTTCAAAAAAGGGGGAAGGGATCAGAAAGCTTCTTTGACACTATTAAATTTCTTTGGTGGTAGCTTTGGCTGGGAAGGCAAGGTATAGAAGTTTCTTTCGGGGTTCTGACCAAGAGATGGTGTCTGCGAACTTACAGGGATGGAACGGCTCAGGAACCTTGATGAAGAAGCAGAGAGGCCGGTGTAAGGTCGGAAGACATACTCATCGGCCTTGGCGCTGTGCAGGCTGGTGTGGTTGTTCAGGGTGGTGCCAGCGCTGGTGCTCCGGCTGTACTGGTTGTTGTTGAGTTCAGGGTAATTTCTGGCAGGTGCCTGAGAGCTGCCATTCAAGTGGTTGGAGAAATGGTTGACTGTGTAACCTGTCCTAGTGGGCGGTGTGGTCTTTTTGCACTCTGAATCATCTGTTGCAGCATGCAGGTTCCCTAGAGAACTGGCTAGGCGAGTATTTATGGAAAAGCTGAACAGAAACACATGTGGGGGGAAGGGAAAAACATACACAATGCAGATCCATGTAAAGAATTCATGATTTTAAGACATCTATTTAAGACACTAAGGGAAAACGATGAGGACAATTTCTGATCAATGTACATGATGATCGAGCAACTCCTTTCTCTTTCTTGATGATATTATATATTGCTTATACATGGACTCAAACTTCTGCTGCCAAAAAAAAATTATTCAAGGCACAAGAAGCTAGTCTAAATGTTTTGAATTGGGATCTCGAAATAAAACATCTGGGGTCCTTTATATTTCAGGGCATGAATCAAATGAAAGTGGCTTTCTTAGAAGAAACAACAGATTTTAGCATGTAACATTTAACTCAATGTACATTCAAACTGAAGCCTATGTCAACAGTCACTGACAAATTTAGGTTCCAACCACACATATCATGTGCATTATAAAATAAGAAATGAAAATACTATTTCATATTCACAGATCACAAATTCACAAGGGCTGCCAAAGTTTGAAGATTATTTCCTGGATCACTGTAAAGGGGAAAATCACAATGTAGGCCTCTACACAAAGTTCTGCCCTTAGTCTTATACCCAATTTAATGCTGACAGCGAGACAGAACAAAACTTTCCAAATAACTCTTTAATCCTAGTGCCCCCATAAACTGTTCCCACCCTTATGGGTCTCACTAATACAGTCTAACCAAAATAGAGACTGGCCCTACCCACCACCTCGCATTTGTCCTCCCCTTCCCAGAGGTTACAGCTCCTTATGCTGGCTGCTGTAGTCACAATCATTTTCACAACACTGACTAGGACTGAAACAATTTCTCACCCTGACACTCCAGGAAAGTGATAGTAGCTCGAGGAAAAAGGAGAGAGAAAACATACCTCCTTGCGCTGGAGCCTGAGGAGCATGAACTTCTGTTTATTCTCTTGGCAGAGGCTGAAGGTGACAATATCACCTTGGAGGGCTTCAAAGGAGAACTGCAGCCTTGTGTGGAAGAGCACACTCTTTGGGGAGAGGTGGGAAAAGCATCACATTACACTTCAGACACTTCAGAAATATCCAATGACTTTTAAAACACAGATAAGAAAAAAATCCCAACCAGATAAAGCTAATAAAAATCATACACACCAAACACATTCTGATAAGCCTTTACTGATGTCTAAGAAGACAAAGAACACTGGACTGAAAGGTGACTATGAGGGGCCTAATAATTATAATGGCTTCGCATGTGTGAGTTTACAAAGGATTTTCCCTACAATTAACGACCCTCGAAGGCCCAGTACAAACATTTATCTCCATTTTACAAGTGAAAAAAGTTCAGAGAGCTAAGTTAAATTAATCGACCAAGTTCACACGTTGTAACTGGAACTGGTCTTGTCTTCTAAATTCACTGTTCTTTACTCTAAATTTTTAAATACAGTTTGCCTCTTAATGAGGTTGCTACCAAATGTGTTGAATCCTGAACAAAAATCTACATTTGTCTCTCCTTTCTCTTAAGATATTCTATGAAACAGGGACTTCATTTAACTGTATAATTCCATTGTCTCCCACCTCCTTTAGAAAGTATTTTGCCACCAAAACAAGGATGGGAAAAGTTATACAAAGGAAATGTTCTCAAGCTTCCAGAGATTGAAGGGAGATTACCTTTCAGCAACCACTTAGCATTCTCTAGAACAAAATTTCTAAGTGTTTGATAAGAACTACTGAAAAAGAAGAAAAAAAAAACACCTAGGCACCTGGTGAATACAGTGGATAGAGCATTAGGCCTTGAGTTACAAAGACCTAAGCTCAAACACGGCCTCAGACACTTACTGGCTATATGTGACCTGGCCAAGTAACTTAATTTCTCTATGCCTCAATTTCCTCAACTGTAAAATGGGGATAATAATAGCACCTCTCTCCTAAGCTTGTAGTGAGGATCAAATGAGTTAATATTTGTAAAACATTTAGCACAATCACTGGCACATAGTAGGCACTTAGTATATGCTCATGCACTTTCCCCAATGTAATTATTTTAATCCCTTCTTTAGCTATCACTAACCTTTCAGTTGGATTCCTGATACTGCTGACAACTAGGGAGAAAATTACGAATAGGAAAAGACTAATCATTTCCTCCTTAAAATGGGAGGGATGAGAAAATATCAAAGGGGTGGGGGGAAAGTTCATAAGCAGAAAGCAACTATTCATTGTTTTCCATTTCAGAGCAACAGATACACTCCAAAAAGAAAAAGAAACCAATCAAGGGAAAATATTTGACTGAAGAAAATCTAGATACATAGAAATAGAATCCTCCAACTTAGTGACTAAAAAGCAGTGACTTTGGAAAAGTCATCTGTAAACAGATAAGATTGTCCTCAAGGTTCTAAAATTCTATGATCCTAGGTATCTTCTTCATGTCTAAATATATGCAGTAACACTATATGGACAAATCATTCTCTAAATATATAACCACAATGAAATAAATGGAGATTGGAAATAAAAATGAGTTAGGAATGACGATATGGTAGAGTGGAAAAAAGTCCAAGTTTTGGAGTCATAGGCCCTGGGTTCACTGATGTCAATTACCTATGTGACATCAGGCAAATCACCTAACTTCCCTGGGCTTCAACTTCCTCATCTATAAAATGAGAAGGCTGGACTGGTGGTCTTTAAGCTCTTTTCTGTCCATAGAGCCAGATCCATGATACTATGAGGACATCAGATAGCACTTCAAAATGGACAGGACACAAATTAGAAAACTCCAAGTCCATGCGCTATTTTAGTTTTTAAGTATGTCCAAGTTAGGAAATGTTCCAAAGGATTATAGTTATAGGCTGTCCAGAAACCTGACTTTATCAGTACCTGTGAGGCTGTGATATTGATCTGGAATGTTGTCTCATTTCCTCCAATTGACTGAAATCAAAAGCAGATGTTTACATATTACTAAAGAGTAAGGGAGCATTATTTTACTTCCTCAGGAAAATATATGATCGCACAATTACATGTTATCCTCATGAAGTCACACTAGTGAAAATATAAAACTGGCAGGGAGAATTTTTTAAAACTTACTTTTTACATAAGAAGCTTACTTTTTTAATGCTTATTTCTCTTCTATTTTGCTAATGTTCTTTTAAACTGGCTACTTCTTGACTCCACAAATAGAATACTGCTATCATCTTAATTCAAAGAATCTTCTATAACTTTTTATCCAAAAGTAAGCAAAGAAGATTTCCAATAAAGATGGTGAAGTGAAAAGTTTAAACCAAGTGCAGCTCCCCTCAAAAACTCTCCTGCAAAGATTAAAAAACAGTACCAGATGAAGCAATGATCAATAAATAAAACCAAAGGAAAATACTAGGCATCTTCTCCATCCAGACCAGGATTACACAGGAAGACGATCTGTGGGCACTGGAGGACCTGAAGCCAGTTCAGTTTCCAACAAACAATGCCTACCCAGCCCTGGCCTTTTGAAGTTATAGCAAGGGACAAAGCCACACTCTGTTAGGTAACTGTCCAAAGAAACAGAATTGGAGCAAAGCTGCCCTGGGGATCTCCAGATAGATTGGAGATAGATCTCCAGGAGAGCAAGCACGTTCTCCAATATTTGATATATTGTTGAGGCCTATCAGGGCCACACCAGGGAACAAAACCAACCAGTGATGGGTCACTGCACGAGAAAAAGTACAAAAGAGAGAGACCAAGGCCAGCAGCTGTATTACGACCTCAGGTAGCAAGGGTAAAAGACAAGGATTCAGGTAGAGTGAAGAAGGTCCTGGTTCCAATACTGGACACAGCTCTCTGACACTGGCCATGGTTGTGGAGGAGGGTGTAAGGAAGAGGACCAGGAACCAGCCACCTCAACTAGCACTGTGGCAAGGCAGCAGCAGTGGCAGCAGTATTCAGACTACACAGAAGGGTCAACAATATCCATCCAAGAGGAAGAGAGGGGGTAGAATCTGGCTCTGGCACAGTGCCACAAACCTCCAGAAAGATATACCTTGAATCCAGAGCTTCCGTAAAGGGCTAGAAAGGACTCAAATATCAAAGAATCAAAGTCAAGATCATACAAGACTATCCTAAAAATATTGTAAGCAGGAAAATATTGGAAGACAATATCCCAAAAGGCAAAATAAAAAGGGTTTAAATCCTAGAATAATTGTCCTGGAAAATGGAAGTATTACCTTACAGAGAAATAAAATGAATCCTGAATAGAATAGAGAACTTTCAGATACTCCTGATGATAGTATCAGAAGCTGGGTAGAATGTAGAAATGCAGACACTGGATCAAGTGAAATCTTGACAGCTAATTGCTGTTGTTCAGTCATTTTGGTCTCATCCAACTCTTCATGATCCCATTTGGGATTTTCTTGGCAAAGATACTGGAGAGGTTTGCCATTTCCTTCTACAGCTCATTTTACAGGTGAGGACTGAGGCAAACAGGGTTAAGTGACTTGCCCAGGGTCACACAGCTAGTTAGTGTCTGGAGCCACATTTGAACGCAAGTATTCCTGACTCCAGGCCCAGCACTGTAGCCACTACATTGCCTAGCTGACAGGTAAAAACATTACAGCAAATGCAGAGATCTTAATCATGATGGAATGCTTAAATTCTAATAGAGGGAGAAGAGACAAAGGTCTCTTCAGAAGAGTCTTCAAGAGTCATAAAACTATTAAAGACAAAAACTGAGACTTGCCGTTGCTTTTGTCTTGATTTACTTGTTTTAAGAGAGGAAGGGGAAGAAAAAATACACTAGGGAAGAAATGAGGAAAGGAGAGGAACTTCCTGTTTTTCATAACTGGGGTGTGCCATAAGAGGAGAATACAAACATGGAGGTGGAGGGCAGTGGGCACCTCATGAACCTCACTCATCTAAACTACGCAAAGGTAGGTTGAAAACACACACACACGTATGCACTCATGCAGAGGCTGGTATATAAACAAACTCCAAATGGGATCATCAGTTGATTAACCAACAAACATTTATTAATTATCTACTATGTGCCAAGTACTGTGCTAAGTGCTAGGTGTACGAAAATAAAAGAGAAACAGTCTCTGCCTTCAAGGCATTTGCATTCTAAGGCTGGGACACAACATGAACCTGCCCAAATATACAATAAGGTATACAAGATAGCTTAGGGAGGGAGGACATTAGCAGCTGCAGGAAGGGAAAGGAAAATCTATTCACAATCATGAATAGATGCTGATTTCATGACTACATGATGGACAGAGTAGGTAAAACAGACAATGGTGATTACACAAAACTGATAAGCTTTTTCACAAATAAAATCAATGCCAAAGAGACCTTTGAAGCAAATTTCTCTGATACAGGTCAGATATCCAAGCTAGGACAGAGGGAGCATGGAGCAATGGAGATAAAGATGATCCACCTCTGCTCCATCCTGGCTGCATGCCCCTGGACACATCACCTAAGCTTCGCAGTGCTCCTCTCTGTAAGACCTGAGTTGCAAAGAAGTGCTGACATGTGTGGTAGAGGAAGTTACCTTCTCTAGGAGTTCCCTATGCCCAGTTTCTAGCCCATCCCTATAAAACTTATAACAATCTATAAGAACAGCAGATATTGTCCAAAAGATTAAAAACAAGGTCAAAGAATATGAATGGGCAGTTCTCAAAAGAAGAAATGTCTATATGAAAAATCATATGATACATCAGCAAGTTACTAATGCCATAGGAGAAGTTTTGAATTCAACCATTTTGGGTCATAATTTGGTACTTTATCCTCAAATGCACAAAACCCTTTGACCAAGAGGTATCACTACTAGGCACAGAAGTCAGAGGAGAAACGACTCATATGTACAAAAATATTGACAGAAACAGGTATGCTGTCATAAAGAACTAGTGGATGCCCATAAATGTGTGTGTGTACGTGTGTGTGTGTGTGTGTGTGTGTGTAATGGAACATTATCATGCCATAAGAAATTACAAAAGTGATAGATTCAAAGAAATATGGAAGACTTGGGGAAGGAAGAAGCATTTATATTGTGCCTACTATATGCCAGGTATTGTGCTAAGCCAGGAGTCAGGAACCTGTGGCCTAAAGGCCACATTTGATCTTCTAGGTCCTCAAGTGTGGCCTTTTGACTAAATCCAAACTTTAAGGGGATTTGTTCTGTGAAGTTTGGATTCAGTCAAAGGGGCCTCAAAGCCACAGTTTCCCCACTTTGTGCTAAGCACTTTAAAAAAAATATTTCATTTGATCCTCATAATAACCCTGTGAGATAGGTGCTATTATATCTTTATTTTACAGATATGGAAACTGACGCAAACAAAGGTTAAGTGACTTGCCCAGGGTCACAAAGCTAGCAAGTGTCTGAGGCTGGATTTAAATTCAGATATTTCTAACTCCAGGCCCAGCATTCTATCCCCTACTCCACCAGCCGCCCCAATATGTAAGAAATGATGTAGACTGAAGTGAGGTAGAACTAGGAGAATTATTTATATAATTCCAATCATGTAAAGTATAACAACTGTAAAAGATTTAAGAATTTTGATCAATGAAATGGTCACTCACGACTTTAGAGAATTGATAAAACATTTCAGAAGAATGCTTCCCATCTCTTAGCCAAGAGAAAATAAACTAAGCTACAGAATGAAACATACATTTCAAGCACAACCAATGTGAAATTTTGTTTTGCTTGTCTATATTTATTTGTTATAAGAGACCTTAATTTGGGGGGGGGGTGTGTTGGAGAGAGAACTTGATAGCTAGTGATAGTGATTCTAAAAAAAAAGAAGAAGAAAAGAATGTCAATGAAACATTTCAAAATACACAGAAAACAGCAGAAGGGAGTTCATTCAGTAGGAACACAGATAAGTAGGATAGTTTAGTACTGTTTTAAATTTAATATACATTTTTAAAAGGACAAATTGTACATAGTAAGTCCACCATTCAATATACATTTTGTATATATTCTTTGTATAATGCAATGTTATGTGTTATTGTTATACTGTCAATTTGTTAAATTGACAATAAAAAAGAAAATTTAAATTAAAAAAATAAAGATAGACTCAACATCATAAAGAGAGATGTATTACAGTCTTCGTAGAACCAAAAAAAAAACTCATTTTATGCTAAAGGTGGAAAGAAAATAGATTCTCAAGAAAACAAGGCCAATTTTTGAGTACTAGAAAACTAAAATAGGAAGAGAAAAGGAATACAAGGAAACAAACCATATGTCTTGGGCTTTTTAAAAAGCAGTGAAATTGGTTTTGGTTTTTTTGCTTTAGCTTATTTTCCAATAATGTTCACAGCTTAAATACATAAATAACTATGTGTTTACATACATACAACATATATAAAATATATGGATAGATATGTTCCAATTTAAGTCAGGTATAACGGCAGCACATGAAAAAGGTATGGTTAGTAAAAAGAAGTAAATTAAAAAAATGAATTTATGATTAGAAAATTAACTTTAGGCTTCTTTTATTCTGGCTATCAATCGTGGTGGTAGCTTGAATATAGAAATCAATTACTGAGTTGCTAAGTACAGTCTACCATTCTACTTCAAGAAACTGCCATTACCCTTCCTTTATGTCTCAAACTAGCAGCAAAGACTATCTCACAAATCACAGTTCTGATATAACCAAAAGTCAAGTTTAGTTTGATTCCTTTTTACTAGGGGACCCTTAGAAAGCCAACTTTTTAGTGTGGTTCCATTACCACGATGACATTTGGTGAAGGAATTTTTCAGCTCCTATAACAGAGATGTAATTCATTTGGCAGTCAACAGAAAATGCCCACCAATCAATCAATAAGCATTTAATAAGTGCCTACTATGCATAAGGTCCTGTGAGATGTGTACTGCAGATCCAAAGACAAAATTGAACAGTCTTTACCTTCACAGAACTTACCTTCAATCAAGAGAAACAGCATGTTCACAAATAAGTATACATTACATACACACACAACACACACACACATGTACACACATATATATGTATGTATATATGTATATATATAAATGCATCCAATATATGTTCCTATATATTATATATGTAGTCATCTAGTAGAGGGGGAGCTAGCATTTGAAGGGATCAAGAAAGGTTTCATGTTGAAAGCGGTGCTTGAACAGAGTTTTGAAGGAAACAGAGTCTAAAGGGCTCAGGTGAGATAGGAGTATACATTCTGGAAAATGGAGAATAGTAAGTTCAAAGGCGTAGAGTTGGTAGATGTAATATGGTATGCAAAGAATAGCAAGAAGGCATGTTGGGATGGACAGGAGGGTGCAGGATGGGGAGTACTATTAAAATAAAGTTGGAAAAGTAGTCTGGGGTCAGGTTGTGAGGGATTTTTAAAGATAAATGGAGGAACTTATATTTGATGCTAGAGGCTATAAGACGCCATTAGTGCTTAATGAGTAAGTGAGTGTCATGGTTACACCTGTACTTGAGGAAAATCACTTTGGCAGCCATGTGAAAGATGTGGAAAGGGGAGAACAATTAGGAGGTAACTTTAATAGTCTAGGTGACACATGATGAGGGCCAGGAGCAGAGCAAGGACCTTGTGAGTAGAGAGGAGGGGGGATAATATAAGAGATGTGGAGGTAGCAGTGACAAGATGGCAAAAACGTGGGGTAAAGAAGAGTGAAAAGTCTTGGATAATGCTGAGGTTGTGAATCTGGGTAACTGGAAGAAGTGTAGTGAGAGTACGTTAGAGGGCCCAAGATAGCCTTGGGGTATCTCCAAAGGCTTAGGAAGGGAGACTTGAGAAGTGATCAAATAAGATGAGAATGAAGAATGAGGAGTGTCACCCAAATTCAGGGAGTAGAGAGCATCTAGGATGAGAACATGGTAAGATGTTAGAAGGATGAGGACTGAGAAAAGGCCATTAGGTTTGCAATTAAGAGTTTCAGTTGAGAGATGGAACTGGTAGCCAGATTGCAAAGGGCAGAGAAATGAACGAGAGGAGAGGAAGTGGACATACTCAGTACACAGGTTTTTGGTTTTTTTTTTCCTAGGAGTTTGGCTGTGAAACAGAGGAGAGATTACCCGTTACCAGAATTGAGAAGTCTGGAAGAAAAATAAGTGTTTGGAGGAAAATATAATGAGTTCTGCTTAGGACATGTTTAAGTGGAGATGATGCATAGAGAACATCTAGTCTGATATAGCTAATAGGAAAATGAAGATGTTTAACTGGAGCTCAAAAGAGATTAGGGTCAGAAGTAATGATTCAGGAGTCATAAAGGTGCCATAAAGATGACAAGAAAACCCATGGGAGTTAATGAGGTGCAGAGAGAAAAGATAAGAGGACCCAGGACAGCACCTACAATCAGGAGGTGTGATATGGACGATGAGCCAGAAAACAAGACTTGAGAGTGGTGAGACAGGTATGACAAGAACCAAGAGAGATCAGTGTCACCAAGACCCAGGGAGCAGAGAATATGGAGCAAAGTGGGATGTGAAAATCTCCCCTATTCTGAAAAGCACCCTCCCTTAAATCTAACAGTCACTCAAATTATCATCCTATATCTCTCCTCTGTTTCACAGCCAAACTCCTAGGAAAAAAAAAAAACCTGTGTACTGAGTATGTCCACTTCCTCTCCTCTCATTCATTTCTCTGCCCTTTGCAATCTGGCTACCAGTTCCATCTCTCAACTGAAACTCTTAATTGCAAACCTAATGGCCTTTTCTCAATCCTCATCCTTCTAACATCTTACCATGCTTTCATCCTAGATGCTCTCTACTCCCTGGGTTTGGGTGACACTGCTCATTCTTCATTCTCATCTTATTTGATCACTTCTCAAGTCTCCCTTCCTAAGCCTTTGGAGATACCCCAAGGCTCTATCTTGGGCCCTCTAATGTACTCTCACTACACTCTTTCACTGGGTGACCTCATCATCTTCTATGCTGCTGCTCTCTCTTGATTTTCATCCTACCTTTGTGACCATTCCTTCATGGCCATCACTCATATCATTCCCTTGGTGGCAGAAGTTGTCACCACTCAGGACAGAAAAATAGAGACTCCTTGAAGAGATTTATAAAATTTCTATCTGCACGAACTGCCTCCATCTTTCCTCACCCCAATGTCTGTTAAATTAATGGTAGACTTAAAGTCAAGAGTTCAGAAATCAGGTCCAACTGGGGGAGCTTGAAAGTAATTGCCAATTTCAAAACCAAGGCAAGTTTAAACTTTGCAGCCAGGTCCTTGATATTACTCAGAAGTAGAAGGTAAGCTGGGAAGGAACAATGGAGAACTTGGTAGCAAACAGAAGGGAATACTGTTGTATCCTCATTTTAGTAAAATGTAGTTATACAAATGTCTTAATTGTAAATAATATGAAATTAAAATTAACATGAATTGTAAATAATACGAAAAGGTGAATAAACTTAAATGAAAAATGAAGAAATTGTAACAATTTTTTTTTAAAATTAGTTGTGGATTAGGTTATTTAAAGGATACATGGAGAAAATCAAATTGTGTGTATGTATGTGTGCGTGTGTGTGTGTGTGTGTGTGTGTGTGTGTGTGAACAAAGGAAACATTCTGAATTAAGCACATGCAGAGTCAATCTGATTAACTTACCTAAATACATTAGCTGTTGAAGAGCGTGGCTGTCTCTGATTTTTTAAGGCACGAAGTTTGTCTCCCTGTGTCATGGAGTTTTTAATTTCCAAATCCACATCATCATCGATGCTCTCCTGGAAAATTTTTTAAAAGTATAAGATTTGTATAACAACCATCCACAGTAATTTAGCTTCTTACAATGTCCTCTAATGTAACAGTAAAGTCCTAAAAAATGTCAGCTATGTCATCTGTATATTTATTACCAAGACATGGAAGCATCAAATTCAAAAGCAGAGAAACACACATCTGTGTGTAGTGTGGAAAGAAAACAGAAAACAGAGAAAAGTGTCCAGGACTTAGAAGACCAGGGCTGAAGTCGAATTTCTTGTACTTACTTGATATATTTTGGACATGATGAAGATGAGATGCCAAGTGAACATTCAGTTTTAAATGCCATTCTCAATTACCTGCCCCTTTATTCCATCACTTGGACATTTCTTTTAAAAATCTAAGTTCCCTGAGTATCCACATTGTTTCTCTTTAGACAGCTCCCCATCTTCTTCTTCTTCCTATCTACAAAATTTCATTCTTGAGAATTAAACATACATCTAGTATGGTAACTTCCTCTGGAAAATTTTATGTCATGGGATCCTACCTACTCTTCAGGGTTTTTTTGCATTGTGAGTCCTTTTAGCAATTTGGTGAAACATATGGACCCCTTTTAAGAATAAAATGAATAAACAGACGGCCTACAAGGCAGGAGTTCTTAATCTGGGGTCCATGAACCTGGCTGTTTTATATTTTGATAACTGTATTCTAATATAATTAGCTTCTTTGTAATCCCATGCATTTTTATACATTTAAAAACATTCTTTTCTTTTTTTTTTTTGCTTTTTTTGGAGAGGTGATAGGGGTTAAGTGACTTGCCCAGGGTCACACACAAGTGTTTAAGGCCAGATTTGAACTCAGGTCTTCCTGATTCCTAGATCAGAGGTCTATCTACTATGCCACCTACTTGCCCCTGAAAACATTATTCTTAAAAAGAAGATGAAGAATTTCCTCACCAGATCCTTTAGAGAAGAAATTCTTCTAAGCATTACTTAGTCAAACATGTCTTTGTGATGGAAATGAAGCCAACAAACTATGGCATCAAATGTAAATAATGGAAGAGAAAACAATAGAAACATAAAGAAATGGCATGTGAAAATTTCTGAGAAGGAGAAAAGAAAGAGATATGTGAGTCATATGCCACATGGATATGACTTTTTAATGGAAAGAACACTGTTCTGGGAATGGAGCAACCTGGGTTCTAATCCCAGCTCTGCCATTAATTTTCTTTGTGACCTAAAATAAGTCATTTCTGCAGACCTCAGTTTCATTTGTAAAACCGGTAATTGAACCAGATGTTCTCTCAGGCCGCTTCCAGCTTTACTATCCTGTGGTGACTGGGCATGATTATACTAATACCTTACTTGGAATAATATGTGTAAAGGGGGGAAAAGGAGAAGAAACAAATAGGGGAAAGAGAACTGGGAAATGTTACTGAAAAAGGAATCAAATATATATGCATTTACAAAAACATCACATTATATGTAGACTGAATTTCACATGTAAATACATCTTCGGGAATAAAATCTTGTGCACTCAACATCCCTAGAGCGCTTTAAAAATAAGAGTAACTATCTGTTCTCAGATGAAATAGTTAATTAACCTAATGTCTGAAAACAGGGAGCTGAATCAAATAACCTCCAACTACCCCTTTGATCTCTATGATTATACATTGCTAAGAAGAGTGTCAAAAACATAGAGTTAGGAACCTACAGCATGGTTTAAAGACAAATACTGGAGAACTTTAAGAAGACAGGAAATCAGATTTTCAAGAAAAAAAATGCTTTATGGACAGTTTTTGTTTTACTGTTACAAACCATCCATAATTCCACCTCTAAGAGTGGTCTCCTCTTGGTCTTTGCAATAACAATTTCAGGACACTGTATAAATAAAGTAGGCCTTTCAGTATTTTGATAACTCAACTCCCCTTCTTTTCCGTAGATAGAGATTGGCTTTGTGCCAAAATTTGTTTTATGTAGTGTTATATCAAGGTTTCAACATAATTTAAATGACTGGACATTAATCTAAAAATCTTTAAGTATAAATAACATTTTAAAGATCCTTAACATCTGTCACTATGTGAATACAGCCAAGAAGAATTTTACAATAGAAAAAAGAGAAAAGTTGTATAAGTATTCTCAGAAGAGGAAAAACTGGGGCAAAACTTCTTCCCAGCCATTCATTCAGTAATTGCTATTAAGCATCAAACATGCCAGCAGTAGAAACACCAAGACAAAAACAGTCCTGTTCCCACTGCTCTTAAGGAACTTATATGCTCTAGGTCACAAAATAAAAGGTAAACAGATTAAGTATAAAAGATATTCCAAATAAAGTCAATTCAGGGGAGGGGAGTAGGGAGGGGGCACTAACAACTATGGAGATGAGAAAAATCCTCTTACAGAAGATGGCACTTGAGAGAAAGAGAGAGAAAGTGAAAGAGGACCATGAAGAAAGAAGAAGCAACTGACGAATGTAACCCATTTCAATAACCCCTAATAGGATGGAGCTCCTGAAGCCCACACCAGGGACTATTGAGCAACAGGTCTTTAGTAAGCTGTAACAGCACTTGGTCACATGAAGTGATGTTTCAAGCTATCAAAGGTCCTGAGATCCCATATGCTTATTTGTACTATTCCACAAAACCATAACCATAATGCCATCCCAAATTTCTGTATTCTCTCTTAAATGATCTCCAGCCTCAAACACTGCTGAATGGCCACATCTGAAATTTTACCTGCAGTAAGTGCTGACTTATAATGATTTTGATTTCTTTCCCAATACCCCTTCCTCCTTTTAGACAATTATAATAGTCACTTGTAAAAGGAAAAAAAAACATTTTCCTAGTAACAGCGGAGGAAAGACAGAGAAGGAAAGAAGGAAGAAAAAGAAGATGACAGGGAGGGAAAGGGTACAATGAAAAAGAGGTCATTTGAACAGATGCACACATTAATTATTCAGATACTTTACATTCTATTAATATTGTACCAATCCCTTGTCCAGTTATAAATTGATCTACAAAAATAAAAGCCATTTTTAAAAATAGAAGCTTGGTGAACTTGGATTCCTCAAAAAAGTAAAAACCAGTAATTCCCAAGTTATCAGAGACTAATTTAATGCAACTTGGGATTTAGAAAGTTCTACATCACTTCATGCTAAATATTTTTCTCAATCAATGAAAAAAAACATTTTTACCTTCAGATGTCTTTATTCATAACTATATGGTTTTAATCCATCCTGTGAAGGGCTTTTAAGCACAATAAGGAAAATAACAAAAGGGTCCAACATAAAATCCTCAGGTTCAGAAGGCCCTTCATAACCTAGTTGGGTCCTACCTTTCTGGGTTTCTTACACCTTACTCTCTTGCCATGTATTCCATGATACAGTGACACTGGTCTCCCCTTCCTGATCTTCCCCCAAGACATTCTATATCCTAACTTTGTGAATTTTCACTGGCTTTCCCTCATGCCTGGACCTTTCTCTTGCCTCATTCTCTATCTCCTGGCTTCCTTCAAGTCTCAGCTAAAATCTCATCTTCTATAAAAAGCCTTTCTTGGTCCCCTCTTAATCTTAGTGACTTGCTTCTGAGATTACCTCCAATATATCCTGTACATATCTTCTTTGTACATAGTTGTTTGTATGGTGTTTCTCCCATTAGATTGCAAGCTCCATGAGGGCAGGGTCTATTTTTGCATTTCTTTGTATCTACAGCACTAAGCACAGTGTTGAGGAAAATTAATTTTAACGCTATATCATTTGATTATTAATATTATTCTTTATCACTCCCTTTTTTGTCAAAATCTTAGCCTAGTTCAAAAGAGACCTCTCCCATTCTACCTGAAGAATGCAATAATTCCCAGACCCCAAAGACTTCTCCCTGGGCAGGGACCCTCAATTTGTTTATCCCATAAACAAAAACCAGCTTGAGCTAAGTCCCAGCTACCAAAGGATGACCCTTTGCTTTCTAATAAGTTACAGGTAACCTGAACTACAAATGGCAAATTAAGCCAGAGAGATCATGATTAGGATGGTTTTCCTAGCTCAGATTGCTGGAGGTGGCTTGAATCCCATGACCAAGCCACGTTACCAGCTGTTTTCCTCCTAATGATAAAATAATCCAAAGGAATAGAGAATTATTAGTCCACCTCCTCATTAAATGTCCACCAATCAGGACTGCCTTTCGATCATCAAGGGAAATCCCAAGAACGTACTGTCGGAAGAAAGAGCATAGCAGAAGACATCTGGATTTAAGATGGCCTAGAATGCTCACTTGGGGTCTTTGGTCATCAGGAGAGACCACTGACATTGATCTGTTGGTGATTTGCTGGCTGTGTTAATAAAATTGATAAATCATACCCAGAACTTTGTCTCCCAAAAGTTTATTTGCAACAATGTCAAGCACAGAATGGAGGTTTAATAAATGTTTGTTGACCTACTTACAATTAAATATTTGGGACATTGAAGTCCCATTTAAGATAATTTTGTTTGAATTTAATTGATGTGCCTACAATATAACCAAGCAATATTTAATTCTAGCTAGGAAGCACAGTATCGCAGTTATAACTAAGATTTAAATTTATTTCAGGACAGAATATTCAAACAAATTCAGATCTATTCAATATTGGATTATCCTAGAAACATACTGCAGGGTTGAAACTTTTTTTCATTTAAAATTTTGCTTTCTTTGTTATGAAGAAAACTCATCTTCTTCCAATCCCTCCCAAGCCCTTGTTGATTGACTGATCATCTCATTTATTCACAAATCTGGTGGCATTTCCTGAGAAAATTCATTTCTGAGAACATTCTTCTGGCCCAAGATAATTATAATACATTTGCTACTCCATTTTGTTAATCCTTTCAACATATTACGTTCATCTCTAGTATGGATTTCCAATAAATTTCTATCTAATAAAATTTGAATCTTCAACTCCTATGTAGATAAGCTCATTCCAGTAATACCTTCACCACTTTTAGCTTACATCACTTTAGTATAAAAACACTAAAGAAAACGGTTCATCTTTGCTTTGAGTATATGGAGGCAGCCATGGAAAAAGCTTTGAATTGGGAGGCTAAGGTTCTAGTTCTGGCTCTTCCGCTAACTAGCTGTGGGATCTTATGTCACTTAATTTCTCTAGGACTTAGTTTCCTCATCTGTAAAATGAAAGGTTGTAATATGAGCTCTCTAAGATTTTTTCATTCTTCTTCAGTCATTGAGTTGTATCCAATTCTTTGTGACCCCATAGACCATAGCACACCAGGCCCTTCTATCCTCCACTATCTCTCAAAGTCTGTTCAAATTCATGCTCATTGTTCCCACGATACTATCTATACATCTCATTCTCTGCCATCCTCTTTTCCTCTGCCTTCAAACTTTCCCAACATCAGGGTCTTTCCCAATGAGTCCCTTCTTATTATGTGGCCAGAGTATTTAAGCTTCAGCTTTAGTATTTGACCAGTGAATAGCCTGAATTTGACAGTGAATAGCCTGAATTAATTTAAGTATTAACTGATTTGATCTCCCTGCTGTCCAAGGAACTCTCAAAAGTCTTCTCCAGCACCACAATTTGAAAACGTCCATTCTGTAGTGCTCAGCTTTCCTTATAGTCAATTCTCACAGCCATACATTGCCATTAGAAAAACCATAGCTTTGATTATATGGACCTTCGTCAGCAAGATAACACTGTACACTGTCCAGATTTGCCATAGCTTTCTTTCCAAGGAGTAAGTGTCTTTTAATTTCATGACTGCAGTCACCATCTACAATGATCTTTGAGTCCAAGTAATGGGATTAGTTGCCAAGATCTTTGGGTTTTTTGGGGTTTTTTTTTTGGCTTTTTTTTTTCTTTTGGTTAAGCTTCAAGCCAGCTTTTACACATTCCTCTTTCGCCCTCATCAAGAGGCTTAATTCCTCTTCACTATCTGCCATCAGAAATCTAAAATTTAATATTCTATAAATCAACAATTGATCTCATTCTTCATGTAGGTCACTTCCAGACTTATAAGGAATGCTACTAACTGATTTTACTATGGAAATACAGCTTGAAGTGAGGTCTTTAAAAATGTCATTTGTAGTTTACATTATGCTTTTTAACTTTTCCTCACTATTTTAATTTCTATTTCTATCACTGTCAATTACAGAGTTTTTTAATTCATATTTCTGCCTCTTAACTTCCTCCTTTTCAAATCCTCCTTCTTTATTCATATTCACAGAGGCAGTTACGTGATGCAGGGGATAGAGTGCAGGATTTAGAGGAGAGAAGACCTCTGTTTGAATCCTGCCTTAGACACCTGCTTGCCATGTGACCATGGGCAAGTCACTTAACCTTTCTCAGCCTCCGTCTCCTCCTCTATAAAATGGTGGAAATAATAGCACTCACCTCATAGAGTTGTTGTGAGGACCAAATGAGGTCATGTATGTAAATCACTTTGTAAACCTTAAAGTACTATGTAAATGACCTGGCTATTATTCACAAAATGATTCAGTCCCTTATTCTTTGACTTCCTATTACAATTTCTGTTTGAAAGGACCAAGTATCTTTCCTGGCTTTAATTAAGTTAATTAATTTAACTTAACTACTAGACTTCATCCACTAAAATTCAGTGCTATGGGGTCCTTAGATCCTGTTATAGTATATTTGTAAAATAACAAAATACCAAAGAGAAGAGATATATGAATAATTCTAGAGATGATTTACCTCTCCGTATCTGTCCAATGTTTGTAATTTGGAATAGCTTCCACCGATTGACAATTCATCTAAACTGGACAGAATCTTGTTTATACTTCCTTCACTGGATGGTCTGTTTTTCAGTCTGGAACGATAAATGTCTCCTTGAACCCACAATGATGCTTGCTTTCTGTTCACAGAAGAGAAAAATAAACAATTTTTACAATAAAATATAGACATTCAGAAATTTATCAGCTAGCAAATAAGATCCTATCAAGGGAAATCAATATTTACAAAAAGGAAACAAATTAGATGGACCATAATTAAAATTTTTGTATTTAAGAAAATGTTGCTTATTTTCTGAAAGCCATGAACTATGATTCTTAAATATTCTACATTAAAATATAGACACTTTTCAAATTATGAGATTGTCAGGTTACCTATGGCACTAAATTATTTCTGTGGCAGTTGTGACCATAAAGAGGTGAGTATTTTGTGTACTGATCAAAGCAACCTCAGTTTTAATCAGAACTTTCACTGACAAATGTTTCATTAATCTGTGTTTAGTTCTATCTTTCAGAATAACTGTTGACCCAGGAGAGAGAATAACAAATGAACAGATTTTAAGATGATTTTTACTGTCCCCAGAGCAGAAGAGCCAATAATATCATTTATTTCTTAAAATGAGAAAATAAAAATCTAAACTATATTTCACAGGTGCCAGTCTGGAACATCTAAAAATACCAAAGACAGCACTGTACCAGATAAACAGTTAAGAACTGAATACTGACATTACACCTCAAAAATGTATTTAATTATTAACTGTGCATGGAAATGTGCAAGACGCATATAACTATATAGGCCCAGTAACCAATCATAAAGGACCAAATCTTTTTACCTCAATTATTGTTTTTTCCTTCAGGGGAGAAAATATGTTCTCAAAGTTCTTTTATAAGCTATTTCTTAGATAAACTAAAAGTCTTTAAGATGTTCCTTAAGATGAAGAGAACTTTGGAAGAATAAGCCCAGTGATAATTTTGGATTAATACTGGGTCACATTCCCAAGGGGAAGGTTAACTAGTAGAAAGAATCAGATTAGGGTTGGTTGGTTTGTTTTTTAATGGCCTATGCTTCATCATGAGGAATATCAATTCCTATGGCATTATCAGAAAGTAGTTGCTAGCCTCTTTAAATCTAGAAACAATATGCTGATTTTCTATCGCTGGTATTGCTATTTTTAAACATTAGGTGATAAAAAACACTCCTACTATATCATTAGGGAGGGAAGGGCCCTTAGAGATCATCTTCATTTTATTTTAAATTTTAAAATTATTTATTTCTTAAGTATTTATCTCTCCTTCCCACGTTCTCCCTCACTGAACAACTTAAAAAAATGAAAATAAGACCTTCATAACAAATTTGGAAGTCCAGCTAACAAATTCCCACATTGACCACACATCCAAAAATGCATGTCTTTGTCTGCATTTCAAGTCCATTTCTCTGGCAGGAGGTGGGTGGTATGTTTAATCATGTGAGAACACAAATTATTTCATTTTGTACTACATCTCTAGTGCTCAGCACTGTGCCTGTACACTGTAGGCACTTATTAAAGATTTGCTGAACTGAACTGCATGACATGGATTGGTGCCTGCATGAAAGATGAGACTATAAAAACAAACAACCTTGAAAGCCTTAAGAACTCTGATCAACACAAGGACCAGCCAGAATTCCAGAGAACTGATGATAAAGCATGCGTATACCTACCTCCTAATGGAGAGGTGATAGATAAAAGGTATAGAATGAGACATATTTTGGGGACGTGGCCCATGTAAGAATTTGTTTTGATCAACTGTGCATATTTGTTATTAGGTTTTTTTCAATGGTGGGCAAAGGAATAAGAAGAGAAAAAGAAATTTTGTTAATTAAAAAAATAAAATTTAATTTAAACATTTAAAAAAAGAAGCCGTCTATGGTCTCAACGCTTATATGTAACTATATGAATCTGTGGATATTTCATTAAAACTTAACATAGTGCTGGCTGAGAGTATTCAAACAATGAACAAAAAGAAGCCTAATAAAATTTCAGGTGGTGCATAATCAACAATTGGGTGGCACTGTACAAGTTCATTTGTAAGTTGATGATTTAGAATCCAGAAAACATTTTCTTGTCCATTCGGAAAAAAAAATTATAAATGGTTGTTTGCTTCCTAGGCTAGTTTACAAAAGTCTATTTGAACCATGATGAAGCTGAAATACTATATTTTTATTAAAAAGAAAAAAATATAATTAGGAAATAACACTTGCAGAGATACAGTACACACTTCCAGTACATCATGAGTTAAACCTGCTTATTTAAGTCATAATATCAAGTACACATCTTCTCTCTGTCCTCATAACATAAAAGGATTTGCTCCTCCCACCTTCTGACCACCTCAGCAGGAGCAAGACAGGAGCTTAGTACCTTGGTGGAGATGGAGAAAAGGGATTTCACACAATCTTGGTCAGTTATTTTGTTATACTTCTGAGTTTTAGGAAAGGAAGAAAAGGTCAGCAACCAAATAAATATGTTAAAGAAAACAAAGAGAATATTATTGTCCACTTCTCAGAGATTAACTTGGTTCCAACCCATTTATAAGATTTTCTGCCATAGTACCTGCGTCCCCTTGCCTACTGGTGACTTCTCTCATTATTCTCTTCTATCTTACTATTGTTATGATACTTAACAACAGTGACAGACACTTAAATAGTGTAAAAGTTTGTGAAGTGCTTTTACATACATTATTCCATTTGAGCTTCATAACAACCAAGTGAGGTAGGTGCTAGAGATATTATTATCCCCATTTTACAGTTGAGTTAAGGATCAAAGAGGTTAAATGATTTGCCCCTAGTCACACAGCTAATAGGAAGTCGGATTCATCCCCAGACCTTCCTGACTCCATGTTTTGCAGTCAAGCATGTCATGCTGCTTCCTGCAATGTGTACCTACAGACCTGATTTGGTTCTTGACTCTGTTCTCCAACTTGCTCTTGCAAACCCATGGCTCTCATTCAACCTCCAACCCGGTTTGTCTCAAGACAAGTCACTGCACCTGCCTGGGCCTCAGTTTCCTCATCTGTAATTCATAGGAAACAAGATCTAAGAAAGGACTCAGAAATAAAACCCTCAGATCCCTTCTAGCTCTAAATTCTATGATGTCATGAGGGGAAGGTGAAACAGTCAACTACCTAAGTAAGATGCAAAAAGCAGGAGAACACAATGAAGGATATTTCTGAATATTACTTTTAATAAATAATCAGTGCCCAGAAATTCCAACCTCAGTGGTATGTGTGGTATTCATTTTATGATATGTCAAGTCACATGTATTACAATGTAGATAACAAACCTCTGGAGGGTTCCTAACATAAAAGAGGACACAATTTTCAAATCTTGCACAGGGTACCTAAATGCCTTGTCCCAATTCACTGTAGATTTATAACAATGGTAGAATGACAGGCTCATAGATTTGAAGCTGAAAGAGACCAGAGAGGCCATACTACCCAACTATCCTTTCATTTTACAAATAAGGAAACTGAGATCCAGAGAGGTTCGTGACTTGCCCAAGGTCACGCAGGTAGAAGATAGAAAAGCTGGGATTGAAATTCAGGTCCTTTTGACTCCAAAATCGAATGACCTTTTCACCGCACTAAACTGCCTTCTTATGAAAACTTGAACAGAATTTTCAAATTGAACACCTTACAGTATTCTTATTGACCCTCCATTTTAAATTTCTTTTCCCCTAGCAATTATCTGAGCACTTAGTTGGCAGGATTGGTTACTTTTTTGGTTTTGTTTTGTTTTAAAGAACAAACCTTCTATCTTGGGCACAACCCAATGAGGAGCAGCAGAGGTGAGTGTGAACCACTTCTACGGCAGATGTGGCTTCTACGGCAGATGGAGACTTAGGGTGGAAGGGAGGGAGTCACCAGCTCCACACAACCCAGCTTTCAAAAACCACAGGTAATTTCTACTGGATGAGAATAACAGTGTAAGAACTTCTCTAAGCTCAGATACTTTGTTTGACTTCTCCTTCGTGTAATGTTGGGATCACAGGAACATATATTTTAAACTGGAAGAGGCTTTATCGATGATCTAATTCAACCTTGTTGATCCTCTATTTGGATGTCGTGAACTATTACCAAGATATGGAGAGCCCCAATTTCTAAGCTAAGGGAAAAGTTCTGAGGCAACCCAATGCAAACCGCACCTAACAATCCTCCAAATTTTCAATAAGTAACTATCAAAATTCTGCAGTTTGACAATCTCAGGTGAGGAGGAGTCATTACCTCATGAGTCAACATAGCCTTCTTTTGGATAGATCTAGTTGTTAGGAAGTTTTTCCTTAAATTGACCCTAAACTTTCCTTTCTTAGAACATAACTTTCCCTCTTCCTGGAAACAAGGCTTTGAAGTATGCCTTTGAAATCATCTGAAATGTAGACAAACACTACTTTGCCTCTGGCCCTGTGGGCACTTGGTCTGTTCCACTTTCTACCACTACCCACAACTAAATCATGAGGCCAGAGCCTCATCAGACTGAGACTCTTTGATATCTCCAAAGTAACTATGCAAGACTCAAGGCTGCCATACACATTTGTTCTCAATCCCAAGTTGAAAGGGGAGGGGGGGCAGGGCAGGGGGAGAGACTAACAACCAGAAGAATACCTTTAGAGGTAGAAGGGACCTTTGAGGTCATCTAACCCAAACCTCTTCATTTTATAGATAAAAAGATTATGCCCAGAGAGGTTATTTGACTTGTTCCACAGAACACAGACTCCAAACCCTCAGTGGTTTCAGGAGCTTTACTTTGTACACAAATTGCTTTTTAAAAAATCTTATTCTTCATACCAATGAACAAAAATATGTAAGGGTGGGGGGAGAAAATTCTAACAATTTCCTAAAAAAATTCTTTTGAGCAAACATTTCGTTTGGTGGTTGGGGTTTAGTTGTTTTTTTTTTTCCTGTTTAAGAAAGTAAATAAATAGAATAAAATATCCTGTGGATGAGTACTTCGCATATAATTCAGCAAAAATTAGTCTGCTTGTAATATATGTTGTATAAAACCAACAAGGAATCACAGAACCAAATTATTAAGAGACATATTAGAAGGCATCATCACAAAGAACAAAATCAACTAAATGGGGTCAGTGGGAGA